GAGGCACAACAGGCGTCAAAGTTCAACCAATAATATTTCAAACCTACAGATAGATAGAAAGCTGGAGGCTGAGATATGAACTTTGACCAAGTTCATTCAAAATAAACAGCACAAATGAACAAAAAACGTGTTTTGCCAGCTGACATGTTCCTATTTAACAATAGTTTAAAGGGGTAGTTCACCATTTACTCACCCTTAAGTGATTTTAACACTTTTTGAGTTAACACACGCAAAATATATTTTGAAGAACGTTAAAAAACAAATTACTCTTAACTTCCATACTTGATAGTTGGAAAAACTAATAGAAATGAAGAGATACAGATTTTAGAGTCCAACCTTTTTCATAATAACTTTTTTGTGTGTTAAAAATAAGAAACTCATAAAGGGTTAAAGAAATGTAAAGGATGAGTCAACAATGACAGAATTGTTTCATTTTTGGGTGAACAATACCTTTAATAATAATTCTTATAAAAACAACACATTTCTCAAAGGTCAATCTAGACGATCTTGTCCATCTTTTATGTTAAGAAGGAAAAGGTTATTAAACTAGCATGATGTAACACAGACAGGGTCCCGAATGACACATCTGCTCTGTGTACAGTCAAGTGACTCATGAAAACACTTGTCAGGTAGAGGCTATAAATGCAATCAAAACAAACAGCTATGATTATACAGTACATTGCCTGACTGCTGGGGAGTTCAATTGAAAGTGCTTGTTATTAGAGGTCTGTAAAATGGAGAGAAACCTGTTTGTTTTATTTTTCTATATAGGGGAATTTATAATTACTTTGTTATAGGAACTGAGCGGTACCTCGGTTATTATCCATGGCATTCAATAAAATCAACAACTGGAGGATGAGGACCTTGTGCTTGAAACTGTGTTTTTATTATGTGTTGTGTGTTGTGGTGTAATGGAGATGAAACGTAGACTTACAGTATAAATCCTGCAACTGAAAGACCAAAAAGAAGGGCTGAGAAATTGAATCGAGGGCACAATGTTACAGAAAAAGACATTCAGAAAAGAAACAGGCAGACAGAACAATGGCAAGATGGCAATAAACCTTGATGCCACAAGCTGACGTGCTTGTGTGATGAAAAATGTTAACAAAATAAAGAGATATGGCATGCTACTGCATGAGATATGGCTTATGTAGGTGTAATGTCAGGTTTATAACTGTCAAAATCTATAATTTGTAGTGTAATTTATATTTCGTACTCCATGATGCTGTAATTAGAACGAAACATTCAAAAGAAAAGTGAAATAAAGAATAATTATTAATATAACATATTAATCAATATTTTAAATAATGACAAATTATTGTGCTTCTGTTGATACTAAACTTCATATACCATGAAAAACTGCACACAATTAATGAAATGTGGCAGATATACAAAATAAATAAATACTTTTACAATGCAATAAAACAAATTTAAAAATCCCTTAATATTTTTGGATTGTTTGCTATTATCAATATATATTATTGGAATTTTTAAAGTTTTTAAATATTTTTTTGAGATAAGTTTAAAGATTTTAAGTCTTGTTTTTCCAATCTTTAAAACAAGACAAAAATATCTTCAAATGTGATTTTCCCTTTAGTAATTTAAAGGGAAACTAGTTTTATTATACTTTTCTTTATTTTTTTATTTATTAATTTTTTTACATTTTTCAGAAAAAAAAAATTGTTGTAAGTCCTGTGAGCATTTAAGTAAAATTGCCTTATTGTATTTTTCTGTCTATTTTACATTTTTGTTAATAATATTGCTTCTGCTGCAGGCGATTCTTACATACATCTATGATACCATCGCTTATACATCTAGTTATTTGACTACAGCACTTCACTGCGAGCCAGCTTTTTAAACATCCAACGCGCTTTTATCAGTCTTTATTTAGTTTTAAATACTAATAAAAACAAAATGTGTGTTTTTTAATAGAAATTTACCATGTTAAGTTTCGTCCTTAAATTTCCTCATTAGCTCCTTGATTATGTTGACTGCTACAAATATCTTGGAATCTGGAATCCACTCTTTAAAGCAGCATTTGGTCATATTAAACAGTATTACCAATTTTGGATTATGGGGATTTAATTTACAGATCAGCTTAAAAAACTCCCCTTCACAAACTGGATGTTATTTACCATGCAGCAATTCCTTTTGTTACTGGTGCGCAATTTAATACTCATCATTGTCAACGGTATTCTTTATTGAATAGGCCTTCTTCTCAATCACGTCAACAAACTCATTGGTTTCTGTTCATTTACAAAACTCTTTTTGGCAATACTCCACTATATTTACAGAAAACATGTCAAAATCTGCACTTAAGTTGTTTTATTAACTTTTGTAAACCCAACGTTTGCACTTCATTTGGTCGCTCATCTTTTCAGTTTCCTGCTGCTGATGCTTGGAGTCTTCTGCATCAGACCCTAAAGCTCAACACTTTTATTCCACTATCATCCTTTAAAAATTCAAACAAGTTAATATTGTTTATGTTTAGTTTTTCCTTGTTTTTTATGTTATTATCTGCATTTGTGAAATTGTTATTGTGTCCCTGCTGCTTCATATCTGTTTTTTATGTTGCTTCTTGGCCAGGTCGTCATTGTAAATGAGAACTTGTTCTCAATTCAATAACCTGGTTAAATGAAGGTTATTATTTTATTTATTCATTCATTCATTTTCTTTTCGGCTTAGTCCTTTTATTAATCAGGCATTGAGACAGCGGAATGAATCGCAAACTTATCCAGCATATGTTTTACGCAGCGGAAGCCCTTCCAGCTGCAACCCATCTCTGGAAAAATTCATAAACACTCACTCACGCTCATACACTACAGAAAATTTTGGACTGTAGGGGAAACTGGAGCACCCAGAGAAAACCCACGCGAACGTAGAGAGAACATGCAAACTCCACACAGAAACGCCAACTGACCCAGCCGAGGCTCGAACCAGCTTCTTGCTGTGAGGTGACAGCACTACCAACTGCGCCACTGCATCGACCAGTAATTATTTTACATAATTAAATTGAATTTTAATTATGACTTAATTATAATTTATAATTAATGACAATTTAATTCCATCCAATACAATATGACTAAATATTGCACACTACTAAAAAGAACATATTTACAAGTCAACATCATCGGAAATATGTATGATATGGCACCCAACTGCACTGTAATATCATTCCTATATGCCATTAGATAAACCAATGGTCAGGCAAGTTTAGACTGCAAGAAAACAAATCCCAAACACATTCCTGAGTAGATCGGGATCATTAAACACACTGGACTGTGCCTGAAAGCTGTAATTTCTTTCATAGCAAGATGGACTATTTGCTGGTCCTCATGTTTACACTGTGGCCTCTGTTTTAAATCAAGCAGAATCTGTCAAAAATGAGCCACAGCGAAAGCGTACCGAGGCTTTGAGTAATCAGACACTTGATTGCGGCTGAAATGTGAGAGGAATTTTAAATATTGCATGTCTTAGAATCTGTAAAGACTATTTAAAGGGCTTTTCATTCAAAGCAGAGCACAGACTATAATATACTGCTGCAAGTGAGTGAGCAAGAGAATATTTCAATGAATGCTGCTGCATTTTCCTCAGAAAGATAGCAACAATATGCCACCTGCCAAGCCTCCATGCTTAGATAATTACTCCATCTCTGTGGTGAAGATGGTTTTTGGTGATATTTGCCGCCTCAGGCTGCTGAAATGATGCTGTCGCAGCAAGGCAAATCCATCTCAGCATTTATCTCTATCTGCTTTTGCGCTCAACCGAAAAATGCACACATTTTCAGGTTTTCACCAAAGTATCAGAGGCACAGCAAACTAACACATACATGCAACGCCTAACAGAATGTGTCGCTTCTAGCGCAGAATAAAAATCACAATTTTTCAGAAAAAAGAGAAAGAAAGAGGTGTGAAGTGTTTTTTTGGACCAGATCTTATGTAAGCCTTACGCAATGCTGGCCTGACCACAAACATTGTGTTGCACGCAGTTTATGGATGTGGTCTGGAGCAGACACAGTTTGATTTCTCTAGTCTGGCTTTCTTGCAATTGAATCAGAAACATCATCTGGATGAATCCTTTTATGAATTGAGAAACAGAGGTCTAAAAGCCCATCAGTGAAGTACTGCCAATTCAATTATAATCAAAACCTTCCGCTTTCTGCTCATCAGAGAAATATCAAAAACATATCCGGGAGCTATTATTTAGCTACAGAGAGAAAACATTATGTAAAGCATTAGATTTGAAGCCTGTAGATCCATGTAAGGGAGAGGGAAAGAGATGGGGAAAAAGGAGCACAGTGTTCTAAAAGCTGCAGCAGTTTGCTTTAAATCAACAGGTACAAAACTTTCTATTTTAAACAGATGCTGGATTACAGAAACTCTGCTGAACATATGGCACATAAAAGTCAAATGCAAGAAATAATTGACTTAAAATATTATAAAATACTGAATTTATAATCAAATACAAAGCTATGGAAAAAAAAATGGGAGAATGCTAGGAAATACCAGAGTTCTCTGGATGTACTGAGAATTATAAGATGTGTGTGTTTGAGTAAAATGTTAATATTTGTTTTCATCTGTAAAGATGTGGTAACATTTCATCCAAATTTCAAACATTGTCTCTTTTTTATGTTTGTTATATGACAATCAGTCAGAAAAAAAATGTTTGAAAATCAAGGTTATTCAAAAATCTTTTTCTTAACTCTATGTTAAATTTAAAAATGGTATTGCGTAGTCTAAAAATAAACAGAAACATGAAAACAGGGAACCTTTTTTGTTATTTTGACTACTTCACATTTTAACGACATTTTTTATTTTACATTTAGAAGCAAATTTCATCAGTACTTTACAAAAACAACAAAGTCCAACTATACATTGTAAATTTACGTTAGGTTAATTGAGATGTTTAGGCGGTCTCTCAATTTTTCCTACATAAGCTGCACAGGTTATGACATGTATCATTTCTAACTCACATTTTATAAACCCATGTGTTTTTCTTACCTCCACTGGCTGTGTACTGCAGGCTTCCTCTCTTCCTGAAAGGGGATGTAGGTTTGCCTGAAGGCAGTTTAGAAGACATTTTGGCTTTAGATTCACCAGAGACCGACAAAACACTGGTTGGTCAAGGCACGGATTCCACAGCGGGGCAGAGAAAGGGGGGTTTCACTCGGTCCAGCTTTCTCTGCAGTAACTAAGATGTTCAGACGTTTGTGTTTGTGTGTAAATGAGAAATCCCGCTTCTTGGATGCTGCAGTATAGAAAGTGGCTCCTCCCTCAGCTCTCGGTGCCCACTCACACGCGGGCACACGCCGCCTGCATGCTGTCACTCCCCGCGGTTTCCATGGGAACTCGGAGCCACGGTGAGAGTACGGTGAGTATATGAACGGTGACTCTGTGTGTTGTGGTGATGGAAAGGAGATGCTCCTGGTAATGATGGACACAGGAGACGAGGGGGGAAACACGACGACGAGCCAAACAGACGCTGCTCGGTAGTTTATTCAGCCGGAAGAGATACACTGGAGGCTGCCTCCGTACCGTCGCGCCACTGTCTGTGATCGGTAACAGCTGGAACTGTAAACGTGAAATGGTAGAAACACACGTGTCAGAGATGCATACAAATAAAAACGGCTCCAGAAAAGTGACTACTGGTACAGGGGCCAATCTGAAATAGTCTACAGAATCGTCTAGGAAAAGGGAAGGATAAGGAGGGTCATAGAATCTGATTACAATTGACTGCAATAAAAGGAGCGTCAAGCAATGTTGGAATGGGGAATTTTAAATCTTCAGTTTATCAATTTCACACAATCCATTAACCTATAGTTTAACTTGGAAATGTAATAAAGTGCAATTTGAAAGAGGCAAACAGTTACATCTAGATTTCAGGTTTTGAAAAAGAGAAAGATTTCTAATGAGTTTTTTGCAATTAGCCTAATTATAGGCCTAGACTGTAAAACAATTTCTATGATCAATTAGTCATGACAGCATGTTTTAACTGATCGTAACATATTAAGTTAATCATGTTTTAACTTAATTTTGTAAGGTTTGCAATGCAAGCTGTTTTTAATCAGTTTAACATTAAGTTCAATGGACTCAAAAGGTAATTTGATTCAGCTTAAAAATTTAAGGCAACCAAGATTTTTTTTTACAGTGTAACTATTTATTCAGTGATATTATACAGAATTATTTGATTACCCATTAGCTGGAAAAAAAAAAAGAAAAGTGTGTTGACACATGCACTCCGGTGCTCATGGTATCCCAAGTTCGATTCCGCCTCGTGTTCCTCTGCCGATCCTTTCCCTTTATTTCTCAGAGATGGGTTGCAGCTGGAAGGGCATCCGCTGCATAAAAATGTGCTGGATAAGTTGGCGGTTCAATCCGCTGCGGCGACCCCAGATTAGTAAAGGGGCTAAGCCGACAGAAAATAAATGAATGAGTGCTGTCAATCGATTAAAATTTTTTTACAAATTTATCACACTTTTTTGAAAATTAATCGCGATTAATCATATTTAAAAAACTGAATCTTGTAATGTTGGCTATTCAAATGTAAAATTAATGTAAACGCAAGACAAAAACTATTTAAATTCAAAATATAATTGTAATTTGGTTTAACTTGTAAAACAGATTTCTTCTTGTAAACAACATACACACAATTAACCATTAAGATCCTGGCTTGACAGCCATATTTATTACAGAAAAAAAAAACACAGGCACGTTAGTGCCATTTGAATTTCAAAACAATCAATGCCAAAAAAGAAAAAAAAATTGATTTCCAAGTCGGATTCTAAATGGACTGCAAAAAAAAAAATGCCATAACACAGGCACTGCAGATATGGAAAATTATAATAACAATAAAGTATTGAATGCAAACACTTTTACTCACTGTAAAGTTGTATTGCTGTGAGTTGAGAACAATTTAGCTTAGTCCTCCTTTATATTATTTCTACTTTATTTTTATTTTTATAATATTTCAGATATTTTTGGAGTATTTATGCATACAGGAGAAATGGTCGTGCCCAACTAAGCCTGGTTTCTCTCAAGTTTTTTTTCCCTTCACTTTCGTCAATTGATGTAGTTTGTTCCTTGCCACTGGCTTGTTTGTTTTGGGACTTGTGGATTTGCTCTTTTAGACTCTCAGCGGTGAAAATTAAACCACACTGAACTGAACTAAACTAAACTGAACTTCACCTCTGAAAACTGGACTGACACAGCTTCAATTTACTAGAACTTCTATGTTAAGCTGCTTAATACAATCTACATTGTAAAAGCACTATATAAATAAAGATGAACTGAATTGAATATTTAAGCAAAAGAAGTGGATTTACTATGTCCATTAATGTACAAAAATATACATTCTAATTTTAGAAATTCCTTTTTTATTTGTATTTTTGAAGATTAACTGATAAATTACTGTGTCCATAAAAGAAAGATGATATTATATTGTACTATAATATTTTATATTTCAAATTTGAATTTGAGTTTTTTAAAAGTGCTTTAACATATATGATATCACAATATTATATATTATAATATGACATTTCGAGCATTAAGGGAAGATGAGTGCAGTTCAGCTATGTAACTGAATGTAAATAATTTGTAATTTTAAATTTGTCATAGTTATTTATTATTATTATTTAGGCACACAAGTGCTTTCACTGTGGAAATTAAATGGAGTGAGCACAATTATTTTTAAATGCTATAAATTTCACATTTATTTTAGTATAAGCAATAGAAGACACATGTTTTTTTTAAGTGCCTGTAAATTTAATATTAAAAAAATATATCAAAATATGTAAATAAGCACATTTCTCTATTGGCTATAACTTTGTCTGATGTTTCTATAATTACCACATGTCATTGTGAGTAGCCTATATTATGTATGGAACTGATATCATATTAGAAGCAGATAGTTGCTTTTAATTTTCAATAGGTTACTTAAATTCACATTGAGCTCATAATTATGAATATGCTTGAAACCATGAATAAAATTGAGGAGAAGGCAAGCTGAGTGGACAATTCCCAATCCTGCAGTCAGATAGCTTAACACTCACCTCATGATCTGCTCCTTTTTATTTGTTCATGATGAAAATGCCCGGGAAATGCTAGTGACAGCATTGACCCCCATCAGCAATGTACAGGGTCTTTAGATAACAAAGGAATGTTTGTATCTCTGCTGACTGGACGTGTCAGCATGCTGAAAAATGCAGCTACAAAGAGCCATGGAAACATTAGCATTAGCATAGAAACAGTGACATAAATGAAACAAATGTGTATGGTATTGTCCAGAAAAAAATATTCTTTGTATCATTAAGTTATAAAACAGGGTATCTGACGCAAATCATCAAACTGGGCAGTCAATTTTAAATAAATGCCCGTTGAGCTTTGGTCCTCTTGTGTAATCTAATGTGCACAGCAAACCGAAGAAATTGGTTTGTACCTCCCTCTTGTGGAGAATGAGAGTGATGCATACATATTAATTCAAATACGCTGTGATTGTATGTCGGTGCCACATTAGTGCATCAAGAAAGTCTACAGTAATAAAATAATTAAAATGTTACGCAAACATATAATCGTCACATCACTTTTGTTCAAGTAGCTACAGACAGGGCTGGGCAAAAATACATTAAAAAGTGTTTTTAAAATAAAATACCAAATACCTGTACCAAAATAAACTAAAAAATACAGCAGCCACAACAAGTATCAAAATAACATACAGTATTTCGTATTTTATAATTACTACAAAACACTTTTACAAAAGAGCAAGATATTTATTTGTAAACCTTCCATCAATTGGCCTTTTTGATTTCACCATTATACTATACACATTCGTGGACAGCAAATTTTAGCTCTTAAGTGGCTATTTTAAATACTTTGAATGTTTTATATTTTGTTACAGACATACAGTGTCATCCTGCAACTGTTTTGCAGCATATGAAATGTCCAAAACACTATTTTTAACTGTTTTTACTCTCTGATAGTATGTCATATATACATTAAACACTCAGGAAAAAGTGTTTTATGTAAATTTGGACCACAAGTCCACATATATGGACATCAGTTTTCTTTAAAAGTATATCTTATCAAAATATTATACTTTGGTTTTATTCTAATTAGCTTTTAATAAGCCCAAATAGCAAAGAGAAATAAAAATTGCATGTAAAAAAAAGACCTTGAGCTTTTCGCTGACCATGTTTTAACTTTTTTTGCCACTTTGTTCACCTCTACTTCTGCTGTACATGAGGAGGTTTAAAATGTAATGTGTTTTTTGTATATTTTGTATACATTTCATATAGAAAGTTTAAACTAATTAATGCATTTAAGACAAGTTGGAACTAAGTACTATAAGTGTTGATTGTATTTTCACCCATTCAGTGGCGAGTAAAATTGGCATTATCTCTGTAGAATAATTCAACCTCTTAATATTTTAAAAGGGTGATGAATGAAGTTAGTTTAAAAAAATTGGATCAGAGATTTTTTCATTAATCATTTTTTTTGCATCTGACTTGGCATATTAAACAGTCAATGAAGTATTAGAAATCTCATTTGTAGGAATCCTTTTTATGTTGTTTGTTTTAACAAACATTTGGCATCAGCAATCCATCCAAAAACTGCTATTATCTGTAAAGTACACTTCTTCCCCAAAGATTTTTTTGAAGAGACGTTAATGTCCAGAGCATTAATCAGAGAGTGCATTTTGTCATCAGGTAGATTTTCTACAAAATATTTTAATGTATTAAAAATACAAGACAAAAATAACTGAGATATTTTGATCAACCCTATGAAATACAAATAACAAAATACTACTTTGTATTTTGAATACAAATTTAAAATACATATACTGTCATCCCTGACTACAGAACGTATTTACAAGCATTTTGTGACATGACCAATAGCATGTCTGATGTCCCAGGAGACTGTAGGCGTCTACTTACACATTACACCTTTATATGAGTGCAAGAATGAGTCATTAATGATTCAAACAGTCCATCCAGCAGGGAAACCTCTTGTGTTTAGGTCTCAGCAGAAGCATGCATTTAGTGATTTGTATTTATTTATATATTTAGCAAATCCACCGCTCTGTTCCATTTTAATTGAAGTACACATGCATTAGTACTGTATGAAACATGGTGATGACCATTAATTCACTTTAAAATGAATGATGGTTTGTATAATGGGGGTTAGTATAATGTAAGAGTTGAGCAAGTAAACCTCACTCCCCTCAGCTTCGCTGGTGACTGGTGCGGTATTTATCATACTTCCTAGTGTATTGAATCCCACAGAGAAGGGTGAAACCAGAAGGGTTCCACTGGTGCTATGACCCAGTTGGGTGTAAATGTAATGGGCACTTAGTAAGCACTGTGTGAGGTAACCTAACTTCCCTGCCCTCAAGAGACATAATAAAGAGTGATGCTTAAAAGTGCAATCTTTAGCACCTTGTTAGTGCAACCACTTCCATTCCGAACAATCATGTTCAGAAAAGCATGAGAAGAGCCAAAGGAGTTTCTTTGGTGCCATGACCCAGATAGAAGTGAGTTTATGTGTAACTGTAGCAAGCTATTAAGAAACATCCAGTTAAATTGGAGTCCCCTGGATTAAAGATGTGTACTAGTAATTGATTCTAGAAGCTGCAGTTTTTAGCATCCTTGTTAGTGTGCTCACCAAGAGATGCCAGAGTCCCCATTGAATGTTTAGAAGGGTAACTGTGACTGTGTGCAGCTAAGTCAATCTGTACAGGTAAACCTCACTCCCTTGGCCTTGACCAGTGCTTTAGTGACTTGAAGTCTTTGGTAATTTTATTAGCGCTTTCTCCTACCATCCTGGAGATGCCAGATTTAAAGGGCACCTATGATGAAAATCATCTTGTGTAAGCTATTTAGACAGAGCTATGTGTAAGTATAGTGGATCCACAGTCATATTGGAATGATATAAAGCCAAAAAGTCTTTTTTTTTTTTCCTGACGTTAAAACAGGACTTTAATCGCAGTCATTTTGAGGCCCACCGTGACTTAGAATGCGGTTTTCCCTGCCCACCGAATTGTTTAACAGGTGCCATGTTTCTAGTTATTAAAATTTTTCTTGATTCCCAGGCAAATTTCAGAATGAATACAAAATACAACCCTGTAAAGAATCAACATTTTTCCCTATTAACAAACCTAACCCAAGCTAATCCCTAACTATGACTTTAAGGTCCCGGCTTGGCTATCATTAAATACAGGTATAGCCTCCATCTTTATATAATGAAGAGAAAATAAAAATAAATTACAATAAAAAATGAATATGCAAGTTCAGTTAATAACATATCACATGTACAGTCACAATCAGTATTTTTCTCACACATTTAT